AGCACTCAAATTTGGAATTATATTTATGTTCTAACTGGTCCTGCAGTATAATTCCTTCATATAATTTCATAACTAAGTTCTCTACCCAATTCATTCCAGTTGGAGATATGGTGTGTGTGTACAGGTGAAACTCGAAAAATTAGAATATCGTGCAAAAGTTCATTTATTTAAGTAATGCAAATTAAAAGGTGAAACTAATATATGAGATAGACTCATTACATGCAAAGCAAGATAGTTCAAGCCGTGATTTGTCATAATTGTAATGATGATGGCTTACAGCTCAGGGATGGGTAGCAGGAAGTAATGGAGGAGTTTTCTATAGGAGGCACTGGATGCCGAGGTAAGGCCTGTCCTAGAATCTAGAGAAAGCTTTTTGTTTTCTGAAACAGATGTACATTAATTGTATATAGGGAAGCTGGAATTTAGAAATAAAAGGTTATTTTAGCCTTTAATCCCTCTTAATAAATTGATTTGTTTGACATTACTGAATTTATTCTCTCTTGAGAAGAGGAGATTAAGGGGGGATATGATCAACATGTATAAATACATCGTGGTTCATATAGTGAACTCCTGTGTAGAGCTATTCACCCTGAGGTCATCACAGAGGACAAGGGGGCAATCTTTATGTCTGGAGGTAAAGAAATTTAATCTCCAAACACAGAAAGGTTTCTTCACAGTGAGAGCTGTGAAAATGTGGAATAGACTCCCTCAAGAGTTGGTTCTGGCCAGCTCAGTGGATTGCTTTAAAAAAAGGCCTGGATTCTCTTAGATACACAGAATATAACTGGATACTAACATTTATAGGTAATGTCGATCCAGGGAATATCCGATTGCCTCTCGGGGGATCAGGAAGGAATTTTTTTTCCCTGCAGGAGCAAATTGGATCATGTTTTGCTGGTTTTTTTTGCCTTCCTCTGGATCAACTGTGGGTATAGGATTATAAAGTTTTTTGTTTTTTTTTAATGGTTGAACTCGATGGGCATTTGTCTGTTTTAAGCCAGACTAACTAACATATAAACTGGAGATTTTTTTTTTTATTTTAACCTGGCTGGACGAGTGGTATTTGCATTTAGTGCAATCTGCCCCCAAGCATAAATGCCCGGGACACAAACTGCATTCCTCCCTGGATACATAATGCCCTAAATGTAAGTACCGAGCAGTGCACTGTCCTGCCCTGTCTATCCACAAGAGCTGACAGCTTCTCCTAGAGCTGTCAGCAGCTGGGCTGGGTGGTGCTCCTGTGCTTCTGCCTGCACATAAATCTTGGAGCCCCAAGATCAGCAATGACAAACAGCAGGATTTGGAAGGGCGATAGAAAGGGGAATGAAGACCATTCAATGTAATGGAGGAATTGATAAATGTACATGAAGTACAGTTAGAAAAAAATGTGAACTTGGGAGATGGCTTGGGAAATTCTGCTGTGCATTTAATCAGATCATCTTTTGGTCTTTGATCAGAGAAAACAGTATGGGGTATGAAGAGTTCACGTGTGGTGACCCGCCCCACTGAAACAGCATTTTATTTTCCACTCTTCACCAATCTGGGTATTTGGTTTCCTGTTTTCTTGACAGATGCCAGGCTCTACTAGTCACAAACCGCACGTTAAGTGAGCTAGGATGGACGGAGGAAGAACAAATCATAGCTCCATCTGACACTTGTAGAAAGGTTTTTTCTGATTGGTCACTGTGAGCAGCTGCACTTTGCACCTTACCCTTTGTCTTAATGCTGAACTCCAGGTATGCTCATTATTAAAAACTTACATTGGTCCAACTTAACATAATGTAAAAAAAAAAAAGTGAGCTGAACTCCAGGTATGATCTGTATTGCTGACTTGTATTGGTCCATTATGGCACAATGTAAGTATGTATATCTCATGCCTGCAGGGCCGCTGGGGAAGGTGACAATCTCTGTAGTCTCTACAGTGATAGTGACCTGAACTATGAAATTTGGAGAGCGCCGCTCAAGGTGCCACTGCCAGATTCCCCAATGTCTCACTCAACCGCTGGGTGCCAGCATAAAAAAACACTCATCCCTACTCTAGCAAAGGCTAAAGCAAACATTTGACGCCATGCAAGAAATCTAGCCGAAGTACATCGAAGTGAGATGTGCCTTCGGCCCAGCTCCTTCCCAGACAATGCCCTGCTGACGCGTTTCGCCCCGCCCACAGGGATCTTGAGAGACCTCTCGTCAGAGGGGCATGGCCTGGTAGAAGCCAGGTTAAAGCCGCAGCTCACTTCCACGTACTTGAGCTAGATTTCTTGGTGTGTGTCATCCAACTACAGTGATAACCTCAATCTTCCAGGTCCTGCTATTTTTCTGTCTGAGCAGCTTCCCCTCTGCACACTGACCAAAGGGTATGTCACTCAGCACTGCCACCATTCCGAGAGAGCTTTGTAGGTTTTCAATGAAAACAAGGCTTCCACTGATTGGATGAGGTTGAGAGGAAGGGCTATGATCTCATAATTTCCACCTCATCCAATCAAATAATACCTTGTATTCATTGAAAACAAATCCAAGGTGTTCTGTGAAAATCATGGCTATCACTGTAGTAGCAACAACTACTACAGTGATTGTCAGCTTCCCCAGTGACCCATCAGGAATGAGATCTGAATACTTGTATAGTGCTAAGCTGGACCAATATAAACAGACTGTCGGGAAAGGTTTGTCCATAATGCAGGCGAAGGTTTGTGGCGCACAAATATGCACATGTGCAGAACAATGACGGGCCAGACAGATGTACATACACTTAGGCATAGGCGCGTGCAGTTGCGTGCGTGCATGAGCACTCACGCATCCAGGCACCAAAAGGGCTATTTAAACTGGCTGCAGTAATGTCTCTTTGCCATTTGGTCTTTAGCTCCTGAATGTGTATCCTGATCCTTGTGCCTGACTCCTGATACTGAACCAGCTCGTTCCTGCCCTCAGCTTGTCTGCTACCTGCCCTGACCTCTGGCTTGTCTTGGATTACTCTTCTGCCTCCTGCTCTTGTCTGATTGAACCTCTGCTGGCCTGTGACCTGACTATGCTACCTCCTGCCGCTTATGCCTGATCTGCCTGACTGCTACTGACCCGGTTCGTCTGACCTTGCATCCTCCACCTTGTTCCCCAGCGATCCATCCATCCAGCACGGCTGCATCCGGATCCTGCTCTCTGCCATCAGTCTGTCCTGCTGCTTCGCCTGCCTGCTGGCTACTGCTAAAACACAGACTACTGGACTGATCACAGGCACTCATACCTTGCCATGCTCCTGTGGCCGCTGTCCCACTATCACTAGCCCTCGATCCGGAGCGGTTCGTGAGGCCTGCCTCTTCACATCAGGATCACTATCCAGGTACGTGACACAGGCTATAATGATCATACTTTTTCAACTTGAAGGGCCCATTACACTGGTGTTGCAATGATCTAAAAAGCATACAGGCGTACCTCGGTTTACGAATGCCTCAGTTAACTTAATTTTCGGTTTACGAATGAAAATCCATTGAAAATAATGGCTCGGTTTACAAATTTTGTTTCGCAATATGAACGGATTAATTGTTTTTCAATGCATTTACAAATTTTTTTTAATCATGTCCCTGTACAGTATTTATGCCTTTAAAGTGCAGTTTATAAAGAGTTTTGAACAGATCAGACTTTTTTTTTTTTACTTTTTTCTGATCTCCGGAACGGATTAATTGGTTTTCAATGCATTTACGATTTTTTTTTTTTATCATGTCCCTGTAAAGTATTTATGCCTTTAAAGTGCACTTTATAAAGAGTTTTGAACAAGTAGACTTTTTTTACTTTTTTCTGACGCCAGGAACGGATTAACTGGTTTTCAATGCATTCCTATGGGAAACCGCACTTTGGTTTACAAATTTTTCGCAATGCGAAAAGTCCCGCAGAACGCATTAAATTTGTAAACCAAGGTACGCCTGTATATCCAAATTTCCCTGTAAAAAAAGTGTTTGTTCCCATGTCAGCAATCCTGTGTAGTCTGATTAAAAAAATACAGCATGTCCGTTTAGTGCTCAGTCCCCGAATACAAGAGAATTCACACTGAGACCAAGTAGTGTATTAACCAGGGACAGACTGACCATTTGGAAATTTCGGGCACTGCCCGAGGGCGCGGGGTCAGTAGGGGGCCCCATGAGATGCCCCTGGTACCTTTTTCATAGGCTTTTTTGAGTTTGGGCAAGGACACAGGGGCCCAATGATCCCCCATTGCACGGGGGCCCCATGAGTTGTCAGTCTGCCCTTGGTATTAACATGATAGTTCAGAACATTTAGTACAAAGCCTGTATACACAACGATACCAGCCTGGCAGCACTTACAGGGAGCTGTGCGGAGGATACCCATACACTGCTGATACCCACCGGCATCAGACAGTGGAGGTGGCTGAAAGGCAGACCAGCAATAAAGCACCTGGATGATGAAGGGCTCCTGTCCAGACATAGCGTCAGTCCCTACTCTGTTCCTCTCCCGTTGAAACCTCTCCCAACGCCAGACACTGTGTTCCTGTTTAGCAGGGTCTCTGTGCCTGACCTAGCCACTTCACAAATGCTTGCCAGCTGAAGAGGGACCGTGCTATTTCTTACCCCTGCCCACACCAAAGATGGCAGCTGAGGTCAATTGTCCAATTGGACAGCTGCTCTCCTGATGGCACCTATGGAGGCCTTAGAGCAAGGGTGTCCAAACTTTGGCCCTCCAGCTGTTGAAGTACTACAAGTCCCATCATTCCTCTGCCTCTGGGTGTCTTGCCTGTGGATGTCAGAGTCTTGCAAGGCCGCATGGGACTTGCAGTTCCTCAACACCTGGAGGGCCATAGTTTGGACCCCTGCCTTAGAGGAAAGTCAGTTCCCTTGCCCTCCACACTCTTTGCATGTTGGCTGATAAACAGGGACAGATCTAGGGGGAGTACTGGGGTGGGCTGTGGTTCCCCAGATTTTACCTTTGCCTACCCAGATCTCTGAGAGAGCGTCATACACTGATCCATGAGCCTGTCTGATGCAAACAGTTGATGTAAGGAGGCACTCTGATGGAGACAATCCATGTAAGGAGGCATTCTGTTGGGGACACCAGTTGTGAAGGGGCACTCTGATGGGGACACCCGATGTAAGGGGGCCCTCTGATGGGGACACCTGATGTGAGGGGGCCCTCTGATAGGGACACCTGATGTGAGGGGGCCCTCTGATAGGGACACCTGATGTGAGGGGGCCCTCTGATAGGGACACCTGATGTGAGGGGGCACTCTGATAGGGACACCTGATGTAAGGGGGCACTCTGAGGATACCTGATGTAAGGGGACACCTGATGTAAGGGGGCACTCTGAGGATACCTGATGTAAGGGGACACCTGATGTAAGGGGGCACTCTGATGGGGACACCTGATGTAAGGGGCACTCTGATGGGGATACCTGATGTAAGGGGGCACTCTGATAGGGATACCTGATGTAAGGGGCACTCTGATGGGGATAACTGTTCATATGTAAGGGGACACTTGGATGGGGACACCTGATGTATGGGGAAAATTTGATGGGGACACCTGATGTAAGGGTGCACTTTGATGGAGATAACTGATTATATGTAAGGAGGCACTCTGAATGAGACATCTAATGTAAGGGGACATTCTGATGGGGGGGGCCCTAAAGTAAGGGGACACTGTGATGGGGCCCCTGATATAAGGGGACAATCTGATGGGAACCCCATATAAAGGGGGGTCTTTGTTGAGGACGCCTGATGTAAAGGGGGATTCTGATAGTAACATCTGATATAAGGGGCACAGGTTCTGTTTAATCATTCTAATGACAGCCTAATATTAGTGCTTTTCTACTGCACACCCAGATTAGGCATGCTAGATCCGGCCCTGCTGCTGAACAGTGTCACCTATGCAAGGAGGCCAAACTACAACTGCCTACACCTTATTTCCTGAGTTTAGTGTATTGTGAGGCCCATAGATTTCAATTAAAATGCATCAAAACACATTACCTTCATTTTGATGCATTGACAACAGGTATAAAGAAACCTTGGTCAATGGCTGTAAACTCCATCCAATCCAAATCCTAAACTGAAAAAGCATTAAGAACATGCAATAATAACGAATGCAGCACACAAAGGAAACGCAAGCTGACGCATGACAACGCACCTGCCCAACCTCTCATCGGCACATTTATCGATCTAAAAGAGAGAGGATAAGCGTTCAAATTTCTGTTTGAATTTTTTTGCCTGTCTTTGCCCCATTGGGGGAATTTTCTCTTTACTTCCAGTCTCAGGGGGAACAGTTGTCACTGGGACAGGAAAGCACTGATAGAAAAAAAAGCTACAGATAAAAGACTTGACATTTGTAAAAGTGTGTTATGCGTTAGGGGGCATTTAGCCACATCAAGTGTTTGGTTGTTAATTCATTTCTTTTGGGCAGAATAATAATTTATACTGGCCTGTGAAATGAATTAACGCTCAATCGTTAAATGCACCTAGTGTTAATGTGTGTTAAGATGCATTTAGGAGCATTTACACATGTCAAGTGTTTTTTTCTGCCAAAACACCACTGTCCCTGGATGCACAGGCTGTGGATTTTTTCTCCTGCCTCTAAATTCCTCTAAAAGCAAATGTGTGCATGGACACAGGCTAGCATGCAGCGTCATTTAGAGGCAGGAAAGAAAACCCAGACGCCACTAGGAGCAGCTTAAAAATAAAACCGTGTGCATGAGGCATAGCCATTGAAACCGCCTTCATAATGGTCTATGTATCAATTTATTCACCCAAATTTCACACGTTCTTATAATTGAGTCCTATGTAAAAATGTGTGAATCTTGGATAAACTTTGAATAAATCTTTGGTGAAAACACTAATTAAACTATGTCTTTTTCTGGATCTACGACATAATTTCCCATCATTTCCTGTCCTGGCAGACTCTAACCCAGGGATCTCCAAACTTTCTAGACAAAGGGCCAGTTTACTGTCCTTCAGACTTTAGGAGGGCCGGACTGTGTCCTTTGAGAGTAGAAAATGTCCCAATGTCAATGGAGCAAAAACAATGCCCTATATTTGGTATCAGTGAGAGGAATTGTGCCCTATCAGCGGTGTTGATGGGCCCCATTGTTGGTGTCATTGGGAGAAATTGTGACCCATCGTTGGCGTCATTGGGAGGAATTGTGCCCCATAATTGGTGTCATATGGAGGAATAGCGTCCCATCATTTATGTCAGTAGGGGGAATTATGCCCCATTATTGGTGTCAGTGAGCCCCATTGTTGGTGTAATTGGGAAATGTTGCCCCATCGTTGGTGTCATTGGGATAAATTGTGACCCATCGTTGGCGTCATTGGGAGGAATTGTACCCCATAATTGGTGTCATATGGAGGAATAGCGTCCCATCATTTATGTCAGTAGGGAGAATTATGCCCCATCATTGGTGTCAGTGGGCCCCATTGTTGGTGTAATTGGGAGAAATGTTGCCCCATCGTTGGTGTCATTGGGAGAAATTGTGACCCATCGTTGGCGTCATTGGGAGGAATTGTGCCCCATAATTGGTGTCATATGGAGGAATAGCGTCCCATCATATATGTCAGTAGGGGGAATTATGCCCCATCATTGGTGTCAGTGGGCCCCATTGTTGGTGTAATTGGGAGAAATGTTGCCCCATCGTTGGTGTCATTGGGATAAATTGTGACCCATCGTTGGCGTCATTGGGGGGAATTGTACCCCATAACTGGTGTCATATGGAGGAATAGCATCCCATCATTTGTGTCAGTAGAGGGAATTATGCCCCATCGTTGGTGTCAGTGGGCCCCATTGTTGGTGTCATTGGGAGAAATGTTGCCCCATCGTTGGTGTCATTTGGAGGAATTGTTCCCCATCATTAGTGTCAGTGGGGGAATTATGCCCCATTGTTGGTATCAGTAACTTTTTCTGAGAGAAGTATTCTGTCATTGCTGATCAACTTCTGCAAATACTGTTTGCATACCTGTTCTGGTCTAGTAACTCAAAGTGCTGAAACCAGCAGGTGAGCATACCAGCCCGACAACTATATTTTCAGAATGAAAACTCAACAATGGCAGCCAGTGAACATTCTCGGCTTGATAAAGCCATGCATACAGACCTATTCCAGCCTCTGATATCGTAAGACCCAATTAGCAGCAGCAAATCTTTTCTACAGAAATGAGGAGGAAGTGGTCTGGGTGTGGATGGTAAGATAAAGCTACAGCTATGACCGCTGCCTTTAGAATCTCTATCCTACTATAGGATGTCTATAAAATAGGAATTCACTATGCCTTTTATATCCATTTCAGCTCTGGAAGGTTTTACCCCATATATGACCTGAGCATTTGTTACTATTTAGCACTGAGCTACTTTAACTGGTAATTGCACGATCATGCAACACTGTGCCCAAGCAAAATCTATATAATCGTTTTCACCCAAATAGAGCTTTATATTGGTGGTATTTGTTCACCACTGGGTTTTTATTTTTTATTATATGAAAAACTAATTTGAAAAAAAAAAAACAATATTATTTACTTTTGCTATAAAATATATCCAATAAAAAAAATTTAGAATAATCAAATTTCTTCATAAATTTAGGCCAAAATGTATTCTGCTATATGTATTTGGTTAAAAAAAAAAACACCAATAAGTGTATATTGATTGGTTTGCGTGAACCTTTTAGCATCTACAAACTATGGTGTATATATATTGGAATTTTTATTTATTTTTTTATACTAGTAGTGGCGGTGATCAGCGACTTGTAGTGGGACTGTGATAATGTGGCAGGCAATCTGACACTAAACGATACTGGGTAGGAAGTGACTGACACTGACATCTCCAGTGACACTAATAGGGATAATAATATATACACTTTCACTGTACTAATGACACTGGCTGGGAAGGGGTCAACACCTCGGAGTAATTAAGGGGTTAAGTGCATGCCTAACAAATATTGTGTATTGTGTGTATTATGTGTGTATTATGTGCTGCTTTTTACTGAAAGTCTCCTTGTTCCTTCTCCCTGCAAAGCAGGGAGAAGAAACAAAGAGATCCTTCCCTCTGTACAGAGCCCAGTGTTGATTGTCAGCATAGGGCTCTGGGCTGTGATTGGACACAGCCAATCAGCAGGTCCTAGCCATGAATCATTGGCTGGGACCTGCTGACAAAATCCTGCTTATCACAGCAGGAGTCAGAGTGTGGGGGGTGTGAGGAGCAGACTGAAAACTCATGGGGCCCCCGGGCAATAGGGGATCATGGGGCCCGTGTCCTTGCCCACACTCAAAGCACACCCAAAAAAGCCTATAAAAGGTACCAAGGGCATTTCATAGGGCCCCCTACTGACTCGGGCAGTGCCCCAGTGCTTGAATGGTCAGTCCACCCCTGGGTGTGCCATGTGTGTGAGGGTGTGCCATGTACCCAGAAGAGGCCAGTGATGTACAGGTACTTTGCTGTGCCTGTATGGGCTGCCAATCCACAGTACATTGTTGGCAGGTGGTCCTGAAGTGGTAAGTAAACTGATCACATAAAGCCCGTGTTCACACTATGCAGTGTGGGACACCCAGGGGCGGACTGACCATTTGGAAACTCGGGCACTGCCCGAGGGCCTGGGGTCAGTAGGGGGCCCCATGAGATGCCCCTGGTACCTTTTTCATAGGCTTTTTTGAGTTTGGGTAAGGACACAGGGGCCCCATGATCCCCTATTGCCCGGGGGCCCCATGAGTTGTCAGTCCACCCCTGGGGACACCCCATGTAATTCACACAGGAATCACACCACATTCCTGTGCAAATTACATGCAAATGTATGTGCTGTGCAATTTGAACCATACATTTTGTATGGCTCAAATCACATCCGCACCAAAAAGGTGCAGAACCCTTTTTTAAATCTGCACCTGGATCGAATCGCATGGGTGTTCTCACCCATGCAATGCAATTTCTGGCAATCGTATCGGGTTTTGCGATCTGTGTCGGGGTCTCATTAATTTTTCATTGACACTCGCACCAGATTGCATGAACGCGATACGATTGCAATGCGGTACGAGAAACGCACAATGCGCAGCGTTTCCCACACCGCATTGGTGTGAACCACAAACATGGTCTTTTGATACTTCGACAGGGTTAGAAAATCTCAGGTTTACTACCTTGTTGAAGAGATATTCCCCATTTCCAGATTCATCTGGAATTTCACTCCCTGGTACACCCAATGTATCTGGATCACACCTATCTGCATCCCCTTTGTCCATTTTTGGTGGGGTTACATCTACATTAGCCTGCATGTTACAATGCGGTGTTTTCCCATGCAGGCTAGAGCAGTGCCAGCCCAGGCAGGGAGCGGTGAAATACATGTTCCAGGTGAGGGTGTGATACTTGTTTTTTTTTTTTTTTATCTCAACAATAATTAACCACTTCAATACCGGGCACCTCTACCCCCTTCCTGCCCAGGCCAATTTTCAGCTTTCAGCGCTGTCGCACTTTGCGGTCATGCAACACTGTACCCATATGACATTTTTATAATTTTTTCACACAAATAGAGCTTTCTTTTGGTGATATTTAATCACCACTGAGTTTTTTATTTTTTGCTAAATTAAACAAAAAACAC